TACCAGAAATCCAGATGATATTCAATACATCTATATTTTATTTAAATAATTACGTTAGTTTACAACTTAAAACCGTAAATTATTAATAAAGCATCTCACCAGGGGCGCACCGAGGTTAGGGAGCAAGGGCTTACCCCTCCACCCCACCCCACCCCATCCCATCCAAAACTTCCAACCTTGCAAGAAATGAAAAACACCACAATTTTGAAAAATAGATGAATAGATAAAACAGAAGAAAAACAGGATTATAAGTTCTGCCAGGCTGTGCACATCACCTCCCTGAGTGCGTTCCTACATCCCACCCACGGATTTCTACGTCATAAAAAGCATGACATAGTAAACAGTCAATCGAAAGTAGTTTTCCCTCCCATCTTACCCCACATCTCCTCCCTTCTACCTCCCAACGCACTCTACCGTTCCATCTCTGTCGCTTCCTACTTCTCCCTATATGTGTGTCTACATCGCGTAAAAGCTTCATACAAACATGGAGGCTTTTGCATGAGAATTGTTAGGCACTGATATGCATAATACAATTTCTTTCCGCATACGGCCGTTAATATCAGCATCTGGATTGATATCGACATCAGGATCAGTACCAGTATGTAGACCAATAGCGGTATCTGGACCAGTATTGAGACCAGTATTAGTATCAATAATATTATCAGTATCTAGACAAGCATCAATATCAATACCATTATCAGTATCAATACCAACATCAGTATCAATATCAATACCAATATCTAGACAAGAATCGGTATCAGTATCACTAGATTAGTATCTGGACCAGTATCAATATCAATATTTAGACCAGTATTAGTATCAATAATATCATCAGTATCTAGACGTATGAAAATCAGTACCAGTATTAATATCAATACCAGTATTAATATCAATACCAGTACAATCTCAATATCAGTATCAATCTCAATATCAGTATCAAGACTAGTATCAATATCAACACCAGTATTACAATCAATACCAGTACCAATCTCAATACCAGTATCACAATTAACACCAGTATGTCTCAATGCCAGTATCAGTAACTAGACCAGAATCAGTATCTGTAGTAATATTAGTGTCAGCACCAGTGTCAGTGCCAGTATCTGGACCAGTATCGGCAGCGACGGTTGACGTAGAGGAGGCAGCGTCTGCGTCGCGTCCGGGAGACGATTCGCGGCGGCCTCCTCCCGGGGGTCGAGGAGCGGTGCGTCAGGGCGGCCTGGGGGGGAGGGGGCGTTCATGGAAGTGGTAATGGTGGGTAATGGTAATGATTGTGATAGGAAAGGTGATGGTAATGATTGTAGATAATGGTGATGGTTGTAATAGTAATGATGGTAATGATTGTGATAGGATGACTGTAATGATAATTATGATGGTAATGGTTGCAGTGATAGAGATAATGGTAATGATTGTAATACTAAGGGTAATGGTAATGATTGTAATAGTAGTAATAATGGTAATGATTGTAATGGTAATGAATGGAATAATAATGATAGAAATTATTGGGATAGTAATGACATAGTAATAGAACAGTAATAATATGACAAGGAATGCAATAATATTGATGGTGATGATTGTAAGAATAATGATCTGACAGATTGTAATGATGATAAATATGATAAGTATTATGGAAAATTGATATACCAAATCAAATAAAAAGGAAATTTGTGTAGATTCGCGTACTTTGATTTACTCATATAATTAATTTTAGTAGTGTGAATGTTTTTTTTTAATCACATTCATGAAATCAGTCTTACTCTAAGAAAGGTATTTGAGTATTTCTGAAATAATATTATTCTCAACTAATTTTGCATAAAAATTACATCGGTATTCCCCTGTCCTCAGTATGCATTAATTTATATCTCAAAAATTTTAAAATTTTGACCACATTAATTTGATTCAATCTTATTTGCTTTCATGTTTTGGTGCAAGTTCCATTACATTTTATTACCTCATATTAAACTGCATTGAATCTAGAACGAGATTTAAAACTCATGCATGCTGTGAGATTTAAAACCCATGCATGTTGGGTCCTCGTAAAATGGGACTGATGATAAAAATGACAAAATTCTTACCACGAGAGGTCTCTTTGCTGCCGTGCCTCCTATGTAATAATGTGGTTCCTTGTCTGGAAAAAATGGGTTGTGCTTGAGAAAGTCCTTTATTTCAAGGAAAATTTAACTAGGTAGGTCTCTTTCCATTCAGCCGACTGAAGCCAAAAATGAAATTGACTTTTTCCCTAGTTTTCTGACGTCTGTTAATGGTAATGATATCTTTGTTATTGTAAATCTAAGAATGGAATTTTGGTTTTACTTCTGATAGTTATAACAATAGTGAGTAACTTATACAAATAGTTATCTAGCTACATCGAGCGCACTTTCACTGGCTGAATGTGGTGGTGATTAGCTCTGCCCTATTACTTGATGCCAATAATTTGTGTGATACGTTTACCTCGAAAATGGTTCAGTAATAGCAATGGCAAAAGATTACTGAAAAGAAATAAAGAAAAAAAACAACAACTAATATCTGTAATAAGGAAAGCTGATGAGTTGCCAACTAGTATTTTCATCAAGATAGAGTGCTCACACCTAGTTATACTCTCCTTGCTTTATATATATTCATTTGTCTATTCAATTTTCACCAGCTATTGTGATCCCAAAGTTGTCTCTCTCTCTCTCACTATCACTGCTACTCACTCTGCTATGCAGTGTGGTCATAGTGTGTATGTGTGTGTAGGTAGGTGTGTGTATGTGCTATAGTACAGTGGTAGTGTTCTCATCTAGCAATCTTGCTGATTAAATCCCTTTGGTAACGGACGGTAACCATGGCCGTTCCTTGCACACCAGGGGTTATTTAAAAGCAACTATTAACAGACAGCCTGTCACATAAAACAAGAATGACCAAGGTAACAAATGGAATAAAGCTAAAACTAAATTCTCTCTCTCTCTCTCTCTCTCTCTTTCTCATATGCATATCATATGTATGTGTAAGTAAACATAGATATATGTTTGTGTGTCTTTCTCTCTCATTTTTTTTATGTTCTGTAAAATACTAAAGCAAATTACTTCTTTGTGCGTGAACGACGACGCAAGCGCACAGCACCACGACCGCGCACGCCAGCCACGCCAGGGAAGACAGTCTCATCGTCGCGACCTGCGAGAGGAAAGGGAGTCAGTCGCTCTCCCTGCACGAAGTCGGAGGCGCGAGACCATGTCGTTCCGGGCAGAAGGAGCGCCCTTCCGAAGCCCAGCCAGACAAAAGCATGGCGCGACACGAAGCACTGCGCCGGAAAGCCTTAAGTGCACAGACCTTCAGGTTAGGAATTTAAGTATATTATCAACTTCTCTCAGTACTCAGTGATATAATAAATGAAGATCTACTCACAGATATTCTATACTAAACACCCGGAGCCAGAGCGAGCGACGTGCTTTCCGTCGGTGTTCACTGACGGCGAGAGCGAAGCAGACTGCAGGAAAATCTTCGAGACCCGCTCGGGAGGATCGTCTCAAAGTCAATGACGTCATAATTCACTGTGGAGATGGTCATGGCCGGCCGAGGCTTGCCATGCCACCCGGGCTTAATGCAATATTCCCCCTTTTTGTTTATTTGTTTTCTTTTTTGTTGTGTAGCTCTCCAAGACTATGACTTACAAACGAAAATGTCTTTACAGCAGTATTTACAAAATAATGCCAATAATAACAAAGAGATAGTGCGGATGACTGGCTTCTTTGCAGATTCCGTCCATGCTGAACCTCCGCCTCCAAGAGGGATAGAGAATGCAGCGAGGTCTTGCCAAAGGGGGAAGGGGGGGAGGGGGGGGGGGAGGAGGTTGCCGTCCTCTGCCACCTCACCCCGCTAGGATGTGCAAAATCTTTCCTATAGTAGGTATTCGTCAGGGTACGGGGTGGTAAGGCTTGGAAATAGTTCCTGTAGGATGTCTTAGTGCATTCATATCATCCTCATCACGCTTGTGTCTGAATGCACTTACAGGTCGCAAAAAGAGTCTTAATTAGTATCAAACATCAAATTACGAGACAGAGATTAACAGAGAGAGAGGGGGGGGGGGGAAGAAGGGCGAGGGAGATCTTTCGTCGGTGAAGGGTTACGATGGAGCTGAGACGGACTGATTGCTGTCCTTACCTTGAAGGAGTTTTCGAGCACTTTAGATGGGGATCTTACAAACACATACACGCAATGCATATATATAAATACTTATATAGACATAATGTAGGCATATATATACATATGTATATATATGAATATATATACATACGTACATACATGTGTCTGTGTGTGCCCGCGCGCACGTGTGTGTGGATGTGTGTGTGAAAGAGAGAATGAATGTATTATATGTATATATTATATATATATATATATATATATATATATATATATATATATATATATATATATTATATATTTAAGTGTGTGTGCGCGCGCGCGCGTATGGCTGTATGTATCTTCTTCAGTCCCCGACTCGCGAATCAGTTATGTCCATTCTTCTCTGATTCTTCTATTCCTCTCGTCCTTTTCCTATTCACACTCTTTCCTATTCTCCTTTTGCTTTTGCACTCTTCTCTACCTCTATACTATTTCCTCCCTCCTCCTCTCCTTTTCCTCGCTTGTTCTACCTTCTACCGATATCTCTGTTATCTCCTATCGTAATCTACCGCCTTTCGCATTTCTACCTTTTCGGTTTGTGTGCTTCGCTTCTACGTTGATTTTGTACCTTTCCGTTTATTCATAAGTATCATACTTGTTTCTATTTGATTCGTTGTATTTTCCTGGGATTTTTTACGTTTATTTACACATTTTGTACTTTTGTATACATTTTATTAGCTGTATTTTCCTTGGACTTTTTTTTTCGCTTATTTCACCTCTTGCATTTTTTCTGTTTTGCAGTTCGGTTTTACTTGTACTCTAGGTTTATTTACACCTTGCGTATTTTTTTTAAAATTATAAAAAAATCATTATCCAATGCGTTACTATCGTTATTCACAATGTGCGGTGTGAACGTAAGGCGTTGGGCGTTCAGAGGTTCGCCCACCGCTTGCCGCCACATGTCAAGTAGGAGCGAGGGCGAAGAGGCTGCCCACCGCCAGCCACCAGAAGTCAGCGTGAGAGGTTGGAGCGTGGAGCAGGTGAATTGAAGCGGTCTTCACTGAAGGGTTTATTGGGGGAGGTAAGTGTGTGACCCCACGAGAGCCGTGCCCCGGGTGCCGAAGGCGGCGCGGTGACGAGCAAAGGGGGTGTCACACTAGCACAATTTCCGTGGTTCTTTGACGTTTCCGTGTTTTTTTTTTCCTCGCTACGCTTGTATTTTGGGTGAATAAATTCCAGTCAAACGATAATTATCGTTTTCGCTGGCAAGTTTCCGTCGTCTTTTTCGTTCAAATGATAAGCTATAATAGATAATCGTTACAGTAATGTAAAAAAAAGTATTTATAATATAAAACGATTCAAAAAGACAGTCTAAACTGTAAACAATATTTCAAAATTGGCAAAATTCTCTCTTGTATTTAATAAAAACAGATACTAGTTTGTAACTAGCTGCTCGCCTGTTTGTTTACATTTGTCCCCGTCAGCTGACTAGATGAGAGTAGCGAGAATACGCCCTTATTTAGCCTTATACATTCGTTTTCGCATTAAATTGTCGCCACATAGCCAGAATGACGACCATCATCGCCAGAGCCTGTGCGGGGTTAAACCTATTTTCTTTGTTTAAA